AAAAAATAAAAACTTTTTTCACAATGAATTTCTCGTTTCGATCCTCAAGTTAATGTCCTAATATTCATTAAATCAGTTGTCATTTTTACAGGAAGTAAGATCCGACTGGCAAACTCATTTTTTTTAATAAAGATGTTATAAATATTCAAAAACTGCTTTAAAATTTTCATCAATAATGTAGATTTTTTTCTCATGGGCTCTCGGACTATTTGGGTAGCTAGCAAGTGTATTTCGTGTCATCACCTAAACATTCAGCAGTTGACAATATTGATTTGGGTACATCGACGTCCAGTAAAAAATTCAGTAGCTCATAAGCAAACATTTCCCGCTCTGGTAGGATAATTTTAGTTTTTCGAATTTGTTCCATAAAAGGGATTATTTATGTTTTCGGAGCAGCGGTTTTCGAAAACGATGTCTATTTTCAGATTACGCCATTGCGTTTTAACTTATTTGAATTTTTCGAATATCATCTACATACGGATCTATTAATATGTTTTTGGAGCCTTAGTTTTCGAAAATGGTGTCCATTTTATGATTACGCCACTGCGTTTCGACTTATTTGAATTTTTGGATATTTACTTAATACAGTTGGACCATCATATTTATTAGAAAAAAAGTTGATGTTCTCAAGCTCAATTGCATTTGACAATGCCACACTGGTGATTATTTGTGAATAGTCGTATACGCTGATAAAAGAAAAAAAAATTAATTTTATCTTTAACATTTAAAATTTGTTCCAAGGAACTATGAACACAATTCCATCTAGATTCACCTGACCGTTTAAGGCTTATACCTAATATTTCTTGATTTTTTTCATTTTCTGCACTTTTGTACGAAACAAAGTGGTGTAATCTTAAAATGGAGATCATTTTCAAAATCTACCGCACCGAAAACATAAATAGGCCTTATATGAAAGAAATCCGAAAACTCGAATAATTCAAAAAGCAGTGGCGTAATCTTAAAATGGATATCATTATCGAAAACTACGGCTCCAAAAACATATAAATAGACCCTCATATCAAAGAAATCCGAAAAAACTCAAATAGTTAGAAACGCAATGGTGTAATTTTAAAATAGAAAAAAACTCAAATAAATTGAAACGCACTAGTGTAATGTTAGGTAGATACCATTTTCAAAAACTACGGTTTCGAAAACATATAAATAAACCCTTATATGGAAAAAATACAAACAAATCAAATAAGTTGAAACGCAGTGGCGTAATCTTAATCCAAGGACGACACACCCCACATTTTCAATATTAATTTACTTTTATTTAAGAAGCTCTTTGGCCAAGTTCAAGATTGAGTCACCAATATTTAAGGTTTCTTTCCCTTTCAGGCGGGAAAAATAGTCCAATCGCCCAGAAAATTCGGACAAAAAAGTTATGAAAGAAAAGAAAATTTATTTGGGAATAACTCAAAAATTACATTCTTTTCCCATGATTATGTCCATCCTTCTATAAAAGATTACTAAATTCTCTACAAAATGAAAAAATATCATCGACATCGATAAGAAATTTTTCCAATTTGATTTTTTTCTTCTTATTCTCGATTAATATTCATCAGAAGAGCTCTGTTATAGCCCATTTCATTTGAAAATAACTACATATTTGGCATGTAGAGGTAGTATGAGTACGACCTATAAACTATTTGTACTGACCAAAGGAGGAAAGTGGGTTCAGATGTCTTTTTTAAGGGAAAACAGAGTTGAGATTTATATTTCGCACCTCGATAAAGCCTCAAATACGAATTTCCATAAAAATTACAAAATAATTTTGTTTTGCACTAAATCGTAACTAAGCCTCCCCCTTCGATTTTCTTTCAAAAATCACAAAAGGTGGAATAACGTAAAAACGATTCCACTTATGCTCACAAAAATGTACAGTTAGTTAGGACTTCATAAGCTACAGGAAATGACATAATGAGATCCCCGTAAAGATAATAGAACTAGAGATATAAAACAAAAACATGTAAAATTTGTAAACATGTTGGTTCCAAACATTAAAGAAGTTTTAAATTAATTTTTGTTTCCTTTGTCAATTATATTTAACTTGAAAGAAACAATTGATTTCTTTTATGAATCGCATTATTTTACTTTTCATATTATTTAATATTTGAACAATTTACTGTGCACTATTTCGCATGGGTCTACTAGTAATTTATATATTTAGCTATGGGCATCTGGTACTAAAAACTATAATTTATAATAGGTCATAAGTAAAGTACTTAAAGTGGGGCAGGTCAGCTATTTGAGTAAAATACTCAAAGTTGAGCAGTTCAACATTTGAATTTACTCAGAATCGGGAAAGTTGAATATTTGAGTAAAGTGATCAGAATCGGGGAAGTCAATGATCAGTTCTACTCCCCAGCTTGCAAACTAGCTATTAAACTGGAAGAAACATCCATCTAAAGTAAAAAAAAAAATGAGAATTAATAGAAAAGTTTTGTTACACCTATAGCTGACACTGTTGGAGTTGGGATATTCCTATAGTTGATAGAGATGTAAGGAAGGCCATCAAGCAAAATAATTTGTTATAACATATTTTTATTTATTTTATAATATATACTAAACAAAATTAATCTTAAACTTATTATAAAACTAAGATTCCTTTCTTTGGTCAAAATTAGGCTATTATCTGAATTATTTAAAAAAAAAACAATGCCATATACCACATGTCTCAGGGATCCTGAATGCAATATCTGAAGATATCTTTTCATATTTGAAGATAATAAAAGGTAGGGAAAATACACCTGATGCTCAAGCTGACAACAAAATAGTCAGGTACTCCTTTTCGCCTATATTTACTGTTTGGTACATTCTTATTTCCCTCCAACTAAAACTTTGTTTCCCTTAGAATTAAGAAAAAAATCGCTTTCATAGATATTAAACACAAGACCTGCATCATTCTGGATATGTAAACTACTTATTCCTTAATGTGCGACTGGACATTGCAATACCATATCTTCAAATTTTCCAGAGTACAGAAACTCAGGATGAAGTAAGGTTTTTAAGAGTCCTGAAGCATAACCCATGTTCCGTTTAATAAAAAGATTAAACCAATTACGACCAGGGCGTTCATCTTTGAAGGGATTTTAACGATCTGAATTTTTCAGGAGATATTGGACACTGTCAATAACCTGATTTTTAGCAACAGGAAAACCTATTTTTTCCATTTATTTAATCCATATAACTAATAAATTTTCTTCTTCGCGAGAAAAATAGAGGATGGACCCATTTCATGCTAAATTGTGTATTTTCCTCTGACTTTAAAAGTGTTGTACCCAAAATTCCATTTTTAAATGAGGCAGCTGGTATGGACATTTCCCTTACAAACATTATCAAGGGCTTTTTCCATGTCTTCCTAAGCATATTTAAATTTTTTTTATATCGGGGCCTTGAAAAAAAAGCCGGAAGAAAGAAAAACAGAAATCAAATGTTGTTCCAATAGCTGACATATCTTGTTCCAGTACTTGACACCCCCTGTCAGCTATTCAAATATATAATCTATATTGAAAATAGTGTTCAGTGGTAATCCTATATAACAAAATAAAATAATTAAATAGAAGAGACGATGTTTTTAAAGAAGTCGTGCAATGATCCAGTAGCTGACAGGTACTGGAGAAAGAGCCAATTTAAGGTTTCAGTAGCTGAAACCCATTATATATTTCAATGCCTTAAAAAAAAAATAAGTTCAAAACAGTTAAAACATAATCTATAAAGACTCTAGGAAGGAATAAAATAGAAATTTTAGAATAATACAAAGTAATTAACAGAGAAGAAAAACTATACCTTAGTATCCTTACTGGTAGATGACTTTTCCTGGGACATTACATCAACTCTGAGGAACCTTCCTGATTTAACGAATGTTACCTAAATTACTTTTACGTCTAAGACTAAAGCAGAATACGTCAATATTCAAGAGGATTATACAGAATGCACTAATATTTGAAATAGAGATTTAGGAGGTCTTGAAATCTTATTATTTAAACTATGGGTGATAAATATTCAGTACACAGTCATTATAAGTTTTTATTAGTGCCAACGTTTCAACCCAAACATGTGGGTCATCAGGGCTGAAAATTCATAAATATAATCAGATATATATTATACGACTGATAATGGTTAATAATAAACTATAGTGATTCATGGTACATGAAAGTTAACTAATAATACAATACACAATATTAAAAATGAAATATGTAAAAAGTTATAATACAAACTAAAAATAATGTATATAATCCATTTGTAATATTTTCTCTTACTAACTGTGGAGAAATATTATATCTCTGATTGTATTTAAAAATTTTCAGCCCTGATGATGACCCACATGTTTGGATTGAAACATTGGCACAAATAAAAACTTATAATGACTGTGTCCTGAATATTTATCACCCATGATATGTAGAATAGTCAACTAGCTTTCTTCAATAACTTATTATTTAAATTTTTAGAGGATGATGTCAGGCACTGGTGCACTGTTAACTACTGGTGCTTTTACCATAAATAGGTTTTTATTTGCAGTAACTTTTATGACTATTGTGTTTATTCCATTTTTAAACTTATTTTTACAATGAATGATAATTATGCAACTTTTTAACAATATTTGTAAAATATAAATTCAGCTAAGAATGAACATTTTTGATTTTTTAAAGTGAGTAAATATTTCCTACAAATCGTTTCTTAACTACATTTTTTAAATTTTGATATGAGATGAAAAAGCTCATCATCAAAGTAAAATGTTTTGGCTATCTAACCCCAATTACCTTTAGGATGATAAATAACTTGTCAGATTAGTTTGTTGTAATAAGTATCTAACTAACTTTTATTTAAATAAGTGCTATTTATCTATTACCTCTATCCTCATACACAATTTTCTTTTACGAATGATATATAATTTCCTCCATGCCAAAATTATTTTTAGTAGCATAATTAATTTATAATGTTCAAATAAAGAAAGGAAACATTAAGGCCAACATAAAAATACAAAAAATAACTGAAGCTACTGGGTTATTTAAATATTTACTAATGATAAACAAAGACAATAAAAAAAATAAATAATATATTATTTAACAAATAAAAGTATTAACATATCAATAAAATCATTAATTATTACAATGTAAAGCCTAGCAATTTAAGCTTTAAATTCATGTAATCCTTAAATTTCTTCAGTGGTGAGCGAGAAGAGCTTAATTTGGAAACCATATCATAAAATTTATCTTCATTTCTTCTACAATACATTTTTGTATCCTTTTCCAGTTCCAAAATTTTTAATTCACTTATTTCATCCATAGTCATTAGACGAGACATGTGGGGATTCAGCCTGAAATAAGTATCGTCTGGCAGCAAATCATTTAGTATTCTGTGTACAGCTACACAAATAAAAACAAGTGATTAAGATTTATTTAAAATTTGTTTGAAGTCATTTTTTTATAGAAAAATTAAGGCAATAAATATGAGCTAAAGTACAATAAGTAAATCTAAAAAGGATTATGAACAAAAATGTATTAGTTAATTAATTGATAGTTGTATTGATATGAAGATTATTTTAAAGTCATCTTAGTATAACAATTGGAAAGAAGAATTGTAGTCCTGAAGGTAGGAATTAATGTCCCGAAAAGTTAAGAGTAAATTCATGGATTGTTTTTAGTGAAGAAACAAGAACATCAGGGAAGTTTGCCTTGATCCTCTAATGATCAAGAAAATGACTACAGGTATCAATTTAAGAGTCTCAATATCTGCTAGTAACTAGCAGCACAACTTGAATGACTGTAGATAACTATAAAAAGCTTTAATGGACATTTGTAGGAAAAAATATGATATAGAAATTCTATTTCAGTAAATATAGTTAGTTACATACCTTCAGTGTCTGTAGCACTCTCCAAAATTTTTGTGAAAATAAGTTTCCATGATGAACTCTTTGATGATTCAATTGATTCATCAATGGTTAAAATAGGTTCGTATCTGCCGGTGCCAATGGAAACAACACAACTAACAGATTCCTCCGGCCATAACGTTGTAGCTTCATGTAATGCTATAGCAGTAGGGTTGTTAACTACTAATCCACCATCCTGTTTCATAAAAAAATAGAATTGAAATTCAATTACCAGTATTTATCAAATCAAAGTAATAGGTATACCTTTTATATTACAGGCAACAGTATTATTAAATATTGGGTTGAGGAAACAGTATTTTTGTGTTTTATACCAATAGGTGACTTTCAAGTCTCTTATCTCTTGTAATCCTTATTCAATGAAACAATATAAAGTGTTTTTCGAAGGTCAAAGTCTACAAAACATTCTATATATAAAAGTAGCGACATTAATTTACTCATTCAACAGTTATTGTGATATATATATATATATATATATATATATATATATATATATATATATATGGAGGTTCCAGAGGGTCATACTTTGCTGTTTTAATTCTGAAAAGGGGAAAATGCAGCACAGGATCATCGAATATTCTATGTTGCTTATGGTGAAGAGTGCTTAAGTGAAGACCATAGTCAGAATTAGTATGCTTGTTTTCATTCCAGAAAGTTTTATGTCAACACTCCGAAGAATGCACCGGATTTAATGGCAACTTATATAATTGAAAGCAGAGTCATTATTAGGCTGTTATAAATTGCAGGAATGTATAAGTCGGGGGAAAAAATCTGGATGATTTATGGGACTCAAGTAGCACAATTGATTCCAAGTTTGGAACCGAAATATTTCACCCCATCATGAGTTCACACAGGTTTTGATTTTTAGTTTGATCCCTAAGATTTGAAGAAAAAAAAAAACATGTCAACAACGTAAAGACCGATGAGGACCTGTCTGGGACATATTTGAGGAGTTAGTCAGAAACTGCCAATCTTGTTATGCAGTTGCAGCAGATGTGACTATCGATGAGAAATTGGAGGCCATAAGTGACTGATGTTCATGTTATGATAATGTTTGTATCAATTATTCTTGTATCCAATTTAATCCTATTATAATTGTTCCTAGTATTCAGTGATTTTTTTGTTCGTATCTAATAGTACACAGAATTTAATGTTTAAGTTCCTAATTTTGTCAACATATTTTTCATTTTGATTTTTTTAAAAATATGTAACTGTGCTTTTTACTCAATTAATATATTTAAAAACTCGTCTTTTATCTTTTTCTTTCTGTATAATGAGAAATTTGTTGGTATTTTTAATCAATAAATTGATTTTGTTTAGTGGATCTCACAGATCTGTAGCGACATTCCATAAGACTCTAAAGCTAAGCTAGTGGCCTTTAGAGAGTTAAAAATGAACCTCTCCCTTGCCAGCCAATCATTAAAAAAATCGATGAAATTTTTCAAAAAATCGAAGTAGACCGACATATATAATTTCGCGACATTACTATGGAACTGAACATCAATCAGAAAACGGCTTTGAACCATTAACATAAGGCTTGGATAACAAAAGAAGCTCAATATTTGGATTCCACATGAATTAGCAGTTAAACATTTAATGTACCTAGTTTCCATTTGTGAATCACTGCTAAAACGAAATGAAATTGAGCCATTTTTGAAACAAGTGATTATGGGTGATGAAAAGTGGATCACGTACGACAATAATATGTGAAAAAGGTCCTAGAGCTGCTCAAATCTGGCCAAACCATAAATTAAACTCTACTGTGAAAAACAAATGCAATTGAAGCAGGTGATTCAAGAAAAATTGCCAGAATTGATCAATAGGAAAGTTGCTGTCTTCAATCATAACAAAGCTGGACTACACACATCTATATCTGTATCTATATGACATTGCAAAGATTGAGAGAGCTTGGGTGGGAAGTTTTGATGCATCCACCATATAGCCTGAATCTTGGCCCGTCTGACTACCATTTCTTTTTTTTTTTTTTTTTGGTCAGCAGAATTCTCTTAATGGTGTAAAGCTGGCATTAGTAAAAGATTGTGAAAATCACTTAGTTCAGTTTTTTGTCCAGAAATCTGAGAGCTTTTACACTGATAGATTTATGGTTTTACCAGAAAAATTACAAAAGTTCATCGATCAAATGGCATATATATCATTGTTAGTGTTTAAAATTTATATAAATAAATTCGCTTTGAAAAAAATGAAATAAAAAAAATTACTTTTAACTCAACCTGATATATTGGAGCAAAACGTATTTGGAAATAAGATGAATAGAATGATTTTTGAGTACATTATTTCATTACGGGAATTGATCCTTATTGTATTTAGCGACCAACTAAATATTCCTATTCCTAATATTTACTTTTTCATAAAACTAATTCAAGCAATTAGTGAGTTACATTTTTTTTTAACATTAATTTATAATAATGAGCTATTATCTTATTAAATATCGATGTCCTCTATGTCTTGTGGCTAGAGGATTTCATATGCCAGATTATGACTATTTCTGAAACAAAATATCCCATTCCTTGTAAATATTGCTTATTCAGAAGAAAGATCTATCCTATGGAAGTAGGGTTTTTTTCATTGAATTTCTATATGCTTCAATATTGCATATAAATGCACCTTTCATTACTAACTGGATGTCAATATCAATTTATGGCAATAGCTCATTATTACAAATTACTGTTGAATAATCTGATTTCAGATCGCTGCAGTTATGGTGTGAGTGATTTTTCTGTCAAATCTTTCAATACTTGTTCCTAGGGTGCTGGTTAGTGTCTAGATCTCACAACCATATATCAGAACTGGCTTTATCATAGCATTGCTCAGCCTTAATTTTAGAGTTTTGGGGATTTCAATACCTTTAAAAAAGAGAAGAAAGCTTTGTTTGCGCTTATGACAATTTTTTTATTAAAAAATAAAAAGTTTATTTTTGTAATTATATTTATTATAATTAGAGACCGGATCTTTGTGCAGTAAAAACCCAAAATATGTAAAATTGTCTAATTTACACCTAAAACCGAGCAAAATTCATCTACTTTTTAAAATTTATAATATTAATACATTGAAATCCTATTAAATCTTATGTTAAGCTTCTGAATTAATATATTATGTAAAAAAAAATTCAACATTGAAAATTAAAATCCATATCAATTAACGACAATAAAACATAATCTAATACAACAATAAATTAAGATTAACTTAATAAATCTTGAAAGAAGAGAAATTTAAAAAAATAAGGATTAATATAAATAATAGACAATTTAAAGATAATCCACAAAACAAATCAAAAAAGCTCTCAACAATTAACCGATAATTAGTTTAAAATATTTGATTAAATTGGTTAATTGACTGGCACATACAAGGAATGGAATAATGTAGAGGAACTTAAAAAGATTAAAGGTATGAAGGACAAGTATAGATCAGACCAATTGATTTCAGATATTTAATTTTAATTAAAAATAATATATGTACATACATAATTATAAATTGTCAACATTATAAGGAAAACATTATTTTTTAATCAAGTTTAAATTTACAATGTTATACATTTCAAAATTTTATTTCTGAAAATTTGTTTTCCCCGTCACTAAATACGTTTTTTAATTAAAAATAAGAGTGATCAACATGAACTGATGTAAGGGGAATCATTTTGTAACAAGCAAACACTGCTGGTTCTTTGTCAACATTAACATTTATACCATTAATGCAGTCGTTATATTACTTTATAAGAGTGTACCCTGCATTTTTTTCTATTACGGAGTAAAATATTTGAGATATAATTTTTCTTTTTTCACTATTGATTTTTTAAAGATTTTCTCTTAGTTTATATAACTTCAATTTGTTAATTAAGTGACAAATTTTGAGATTCTAGATGAGTTAATGTTTGCGAAAAATTTGACAAATATGAGTTTATGAATGTCAAATCGCATATTATTGATGCCAAATTCATGATAGTCTACGATTCACTTCAAAGCTGGAAGGGATATTGAAGGACTGAAGAACGAGTGACAGTTGAAGTCGAAACAAGGAAGGCTATTTTTTTATTGAATTACTTCAGGAAAGCTCTATTCCACGAATAGTCTGTCTGAACTTGTTTTTACTTTGTCCTTTTGCAAACATTAAATTCAAATTTTTGCCAGTCACAGAATCATTTCCCTTCTTCATATTTTCTTTGTTAAATTATAAATTTAATATAGGCAAGACAGTGAAATAAAAAAGTAAATATTTACACACACACATATATATTAATATTTATAAATCTTTAATCTAGCACAAAAATGTGCAATTTAAGCCAAAAACGGCAAAACGTGCAATTTCGTGTAATATAAAGTTTAAATATGTTATTCTACAGATCCTGAAACAGATAGATATTCGAGTCCGGGGTTTTTACAAGCAATTGAATAAAATGGAATAACATGGAAATCTCTAATTTTAATACATCACAGCTCATTAAATATTATAATAAAGGTTTACAATAACTTATTGTAGTCATTATTGCTGAAAACAGAGGTACTTCTAGACAATGGGGTATCAAATGATATTTTTTTTACACAACTATAGGTGAATCAACATATTAAGAAACAAACCTCAACTTGATTAATATTGACTTAAAACACATGAAACAAGGAAGTTTTTCTAGTAGTGTGGTTTCATTAGTCTAGTTGGAAGACTATAAGAAAAAGTGATTTGTAGATTAATATAAGACTTAAGTAGCATAAAGAAGTAGTTAAGAGAGAAAAATTAAAATAAATTGAAAAACAATTTAAATACTTGAAGGTGACTTGTAGATGTTATAACCCACCAATCATCATATATAAGATAAACATAGATTAAATTGCTTAATGCCTGGTACTGAGAATAAAACAATATCAGTTCTACACTCCCAGGGATGAAAGACATAGAAGCAAATCTTCACCAGAACTTTAAGTTCAAGATAAACACCTAAAGAGACCAAAACATATGATGACTGATTAACGAAAATTGGATAGCACTACAAATAAAAATCTTCTTAATGAAATATTAGAATTGCTAGATCAGAAGTTAAATGAAAAATTCGAAAATTTGGCCACAAAATGAATTAGAAAATAAGATAAAATATTAAATTTAATTTTTTAGATTATATCAATATAAAAATTTAAATTTGTTTATATACTTACCAGTGGTTAAACAAATAATAATACCCTCAATGAAATATAAATAAATATAGCGACCTGGATGGAAGAGGAAGAAACACCAAAGTACAAACAATAATCTCAGAATAAGGAACTGGATGAGTTGTGCACAGGACAGCCACAAATGGCAGAAGCTGCTGGAGGAGGCCAAATGGCCATGATTTGAGAGACCGGATTATAGAGCCATATGATAGATAATGATGATTATGATGGATTATAGATAATGATGATGATGACCGTCTATAATCTTTACGTTCACTTCCTTATGTATGAAAATATCTATTTCTATACAAAGTAGGGTGGTAAGTGAAACTTGTGTAATGAGCATCTAAACAGTTTTTAAATCTATTTTAAAATTTAGTCACATACATAAATAAACAATAAAATTATAAAGAAATTTATAGTACATGATAAAATCAACCTACTTTGGTGCTTAAAATTTACCATTAACCCATTCCTTACAACGAGCGCACCAGTGTGCTCTTATCCATTCTCGATCTACCTCACTATTCAAATATCTACTGTGGTTTGCAGTCATGAAGAAAGCCTTACTGGTTGGTCTAGTAGTTTCTACAAGGATTAGTTATCAGTTTTGGAATTTAATTCACTGTTGAGAAGATATGAGCCCTCAAATTTCAGATGGATGAATATTTTCCCTTTAATTATTTAATATATATATATAATGCTTTCAAATATTATTTAGTTTCCAAGTTATTCATATTAATAAAATAAAGGGGTTGATTTTTGTGAAAAATGCCTATGGATTTTTTAAAATAATTTACAACTTACATGTAATAAAAAAGAAATTAGTTTATGTGGCTGTAATAGTGGTAATAAATGAGTTGAAAATATATTACCTGAAATATATCCAATTTTTATTCGGGTCACTGAAATGTCCATAGAAATATATGATAACCAACAATAATGTTAACACTGGTATCTTGAATAAGCAGCAATAAGTGATTTTATTTATATAATAATGACCAGTTAACAACATTTATAAATATAAAGGAATGTATCTCCCAGGAAAAATAATCTGAAGTACATAGGAGTAATGCTTAATTCTAAATTATTCTTTATACAACATGTCGACACACATCAGCAATAGGTCAATGAGTCTTATTTTAAGTTTCCTTCCAGTGCTAAATAAATACTCAGGGACTAAGTATTAATAATAAAAAAATATTTATTATAATCTGTTATCTATCCCCATATTATTGTAGACTCTTGCCTTGTCTAACACAAATGCTAAAATTCAAAATAATAGGAAAAACAAAATAAATGTAGAAAACTAGCCAATGCCTTCCCAGCAGAAGATAGATGGATATTGATAAACTAAATAACCTATCCTCTAAACTAGACCTATTAAATAACTAAATATGAATTTACTTCAATGAGCCTTATGGTAGGCAGCAGTGTTACCAGTACCATCTTGAATCTCAAGAAATTAGATATCCATGACCAGAAAACATGAGATATTTAATTAATGGCAGGTATCCAATATGTTCGCGAACCAACGGCACTCCAAGGGTGTAACAAGTGGATACATTTTAGCGCTCCAAGCCTGTAACATTTCAATAATATTCTAGAGTGCTTCAATGGCTATTGGTTATTGCCCAAACTAAAAAAAAATGGAGCAAGTTTGTAGACAGCATTCAGTCAATGTTAGTCACTTGTGTAACCTTTGTAACATTGTGCAATGGAGTAGATGGACAAAATATCTTCTGCTTATGGAATTATACCAAAAATAACTAATATTGTGGAATCCTACAGATTCAATTATAAGAAAAAATTTGAAAGAAGATGCATGGAAGAACATTGGAAGTGCTATGCAATTACCTGCTGAGCCGATATAGCCTTTCGCAACATAGAGTCTTGTCTTTGAATAAATGGTGCTACCAAGTTAAAAATGTTTTCAAAATTTGAGGAAGACATTCTGAAGAAAAATATCTGTGGTGCCTGCATAGTTCTTGAGATCTTAGGTAAAACAGTAAGTCATTTTTAGCCCTCTGTTCATGAAATTTTGTTTGCCAAAAACGAGGTCTTCTATAATATTCTACCGAATAATGGATGAAAATGTAAGCACTTTACCACTGGGGAGCACTTATAGAGCAGTCGTGTTCACAAACTCCGTCCCCATAAACAGTTACAAGAGCACGGAGCACCTCTGGTTCACAAACATAGGTGATACCTGCCTTAAGAGGAACACATTTTTTAACAAATAAAATATGCCACTGAAGTCAGAGGTGCAAATCTCATCAAGTGACAGGAAAACAGTAACAACAAAAGAGGAAAAATTAAATGTATCCATAATTTTGAATACCTGATGCATTAGATCTCCAATTTTGAATTCTTCAAAAACAGTTGGAGCAGCTGCAGAAGCACGCACAGCTTCAAAGATGGTATTTCTACATGAGCCAACATATTCTGAGCTCCTGTTATATGGCTCTGCATAGTTTCGGAAAACGAATGGAATTATTTTAGACTGGTTAATAATTGTTGAAACTATAGCAACCTACCAAAACAAAATCAGAAAAATTAATCTATTAATTTTGGTTTTAAATAATAAAATATTGTGATATATATTTTTATTATCAGAACAGATATTATATTTGACAGGTATTGAGTGTATTCCTGCTGTTTTTAGAACAAACACATCTTATTTTCATTCATGAGTAAGGCCTAAAGGCATTATTTTTTAACACAAAACAGAAGTTTCAATAAAATGCGTAACTATTGTTTTATTCACAGAAACACATTTCAAATTATAGAAAAAGCTTTTCATACCTCAAAAACTTTTTAGGGGACAGACAGCAGAAAACCCCAAGGGTGGTTTCACACGAGATGGTGTATTGATTCAATTTAGTTGCCCATTTAACAATCAACTAGCTGAATCAAGTGTGAAGATAAAACCTATTTTTACTTTCATTTACCTATATGTGAAATATATTGTAAGGGAAAGAAAGTATTGTGATCATGCAAAATTTTGAATCTGAGTATTTAACAGAAATATTCTGGCAGGGCTTAAATGCTGAATGTTCAAAATATTTTACTTAAAAGTACTTTTAATTTTGTTTATTTAAAATAATTAAACTGTTTACATTGTTACTAGTAACAAAAAAATATTAAATACAAATTATGACAGTATTTGATAATTAATTAAAGTAAAAAAAGGGTTACTAAAATGAAACCAAGCACTAACAAAGGCCACTCCGAGAACCATCGAAGATGCTTGATAATGGTGAAATGAAATGAAAATATTTTTTTATTATCCTGGGACTGTTGTCCCTTTAGGACAAATTACAGATACAGAATAATGGTGGAATTTTATGATGCATTATAAGCTATATTATAGGCGAGGAACATCCAGACTCCGATAGTATATGTGTGGATTTTATAAATGCAAGCTGTGGTGGTAATTATCATTCTTCTTTTTCTTCTTCGACAGCTCTACAATTCATTGGAGAGTCAAAACTTCCCTCAGTCGGAACCGTCAGTCTTCTCTGTTTTGTGCTGCTGCTTTCCAATTTTTTATTCCCAACAGCTTCTCAGCATCTATTGTTACGCAATCCACCCAACGAATGTGAGGTCTTCCAACTCTTCTACGTCCAAATATTTTTTCTTCTAAGAGCAATTTGGGGACTTCATAACTATTCATGACATGCTTTACCCATCTTAGATGCCTAGCCTTTATTAAATGGACGATATAAAGGTCATTGTAGAAATTCATAAGCTCAAAGTTTTTCCTCGATCTCCATACACCATTGATATACGAAGCTCCATAATCCTTCTCAAAACCTTTCTTTATAATCTCAATCGAGTTGATTATAGTGCTTTCGTTATCTTCTCAGATAAATAGGTGAGGACGGGCCTGACCAGGGTTTTATAAATACGTATTTTAATGGTCCTAGAGAGATATTTGCTGCAGCTCATAATGGCATCTATTAGCTGCTATAATCCGCCACTGAATTTCTGATTACATATTATTAGACGAGTTCAACAGTGTCCCAAGGTAAATAAATTCCTATATAATTTAGCATATAATTTGTTTTGGACTTGTTCACTGCAACCCAAATTTAACGACTGCTTTTTGCAGATTCAGGAAGGCATTCTTCATAATCAGAAAACTGTGTACTACTACATCTAAATCATCGGCATTGGCTAGAATTTGGCACCATTTGTTGAAAATGGTCTCTTCTGTTCGGATTACCAACTCTCTTATGGCACATTCTATTGTAAAATTAAACAGCAGGCACGCAAAACAATCACTTTGTCTGGACCTCTTGAGGAAAAACTCAGATATATCTCTCCGGACACTCTCACTGAGCTACTCATGGTTATTCTGACAAGGTGGACCAGCTTCGGAGGTATGTGGAGAGCAATCATTCCATCATAAAGCTCCTCTGAATAATGCTGTCATAGGCAGCTCGGAAATCCATAAAGAGATGGTGGCTCTATGTATTATACTCAGCCGCTCTCTCTATCATCGTTCCCACTGAGAAGATTTGGTTCGCCGTAGCTTTGCCTTTCATAAAACCTGCTTGACATTGGACTATTTTCTTTTCAAAAAAAGATAATAAACATTGGAAAATATCTTATAAGCAGAGGGAAGGAGGGATATTCCTCTACAGTTCTCACAGTAAAGTATATATATATATATATACACACACACACACACACATACCTACACTGAATATAATATAGTTGGAAAACTACATTTGACAACAGTGGATCCAATGCTGATCTGTGCAAAAAATATTTTAATTATTATTTAAAAATAACAAGTATTTAGTGTTTTAGAGAGAGAGAATCACTTTATTATCATAAAATAAAATAAAATGGTGCTGCCCAATTACATTGGGTTGCTAACAACACAGCATACTTATTAATCACTACAGACATTATTTAAAATTATTATACAATTATATAGGATTAACAATATGTATGAGCATAGTATACAATATTTTATACGTATATATATATATTTTTTTTCCTTTTTTTTCTCCTTTTTTTTTATTTTATAATTTTTACTATTTCTTTCATTCATTTATTATCATTCTGTACCCTTTCTCTTCCTTCTCTCCCCCTATACATGTTCCCACTCCTCACATTCTCTCCTCTCTCTTTCTAACCTAATACATAAAAAATACATTAAGTACAGTGGACGTGTTCAATAAATAATAATATAAAAATGCTGTAACACACGCATGCCTCCCCCCGCGAGCAAACTCTCCCCCTATCCGCTCCCATGCACATGGTGGTGGATGATTCCCAGGGAGTCGAGGGTTATACTCTCTGCCAACCTTGCCACGTCCTTTATGTCGACACCAAGGCCCTCCATGAAGCTCCTTGTTGAGTCTGGTATCGTTCCGCGAGCTCCGAACCAAAGGTCTCTCACGTGGAACTCTCTCGGCCCGAAACTCTCGCAGAACTTTTCACTAAGGAAAGGGATGCATTTCTCATATGTCTGTTTTTTCTCCCTTTCCACTTTTTCTGCCTGATCGAGGTCGTTGGTCTCATATCTCACGATCCAAAATCATCGCCGACTTTCCCATCTTAGGGAATGCTACAATGTCGGCATATCGGGTGGATCCATCCGTATCTATACAATATACTTCCTCGAAACAGGCGTATTCTCTCTCTTCAAGGAGCCTCATCAGTTCATGCTTGACTCTGTGGTGACGGCGTGTTATAAGGAGGGAGTTGTTGGGGCATTTTCCAAGCACATGTGCTGGTGTTTCTGGCTCTCTGTCGCATTTGCGCACTATTATAATAGTGAATTTTAATTAAAAATGGTGTGGTGCTTTTAACTAATTTATAGAAAAAATAAGTTTATTCTGATGAAGAAAGGAGTTAATATACTTTTAAAATAATTCTTTAGCAATCATTTTATTCCTTTGATATTATTTCTGAACAATTTATAATAAAAGTGGTGTTTGGCCAAATTATTTCATTTTAAATATTCTCCAAGGTTTTACATAAATTGAATCCTTCCTTTTTCTTTGCTGAAAAGTACTAAAAAGGAAGGTCTTTTTTCCAACTAAACATTAGTCGGTCGACATTTACATGTTGATTAAAAAAAAAAAAATCTTATACTCATTTCTGTTTTAAAACACTGGAGTCTTCAATAATTTTTTTAAATGTGGGTCTGTCTAATTCAGTAATTTCTTTTGTACATTTAAAATACATTTTTCATATTGTAGTATCTTGGAAATAAAATAAAAATACTTTTTATGTTTACAGGTTAGGCCTGAACTGTAAAAAAAGTTTTTAAGTTCTTAATTGATACTAATGTTTTGATTTATTTTTAAAATGCCTCAGTAAAGTGAAAAGACTTCTTTGCAGAATTAGAATTATTTGGTTAAAATTGATTTATTAGAAAGCATGAATGAAGATTCATATGAGTCAGAAGGCAAAGAACTTGATGAATACATAAATGACACCCTATTTTGCCAGATTCTTAGGTTTCAAGTAGAAAGCAAATGGGTATTTACGAGTTTTTATTACCAAATTAAATAGACAAAGTTAGTTCCCCTCCAGATTGAAAATGCCCCAATGCCAAGAGTTTTCATAAATAAAATAGTTGTAGGTTACAATGAGATGAAATTAGAAATTACACAACTCAAAAAGTAATTTATAAAACAAAAGAAAACAAAAAGTTTTTTATTTTATATTTAACTCTTGTAATTATAACTTAGTAATTAGTTTCATTTTCTAAATATCTTATTCCATATTAATAGTATTGACAAAAAATAAAACACATGAAATATTAAGAGTTTGAATTAATATAAAAAATATATTACTAACCTTGGGACAAAGAGGTTCTTTGGCTGAATCAATTAAAGTTAATTTACCAACATGGTCACTTAAAATTTTTTCCCACAGAGAAGTATCATAATAACCACCACTCCATAACAGCATACTAGCCCCCCAAAAAGCACTTTGATTGAATACACGTGAGCTTAACTCTCTATAGAGATCATAAATGCGATCCAGTGACATGTTGTTAGGTGGAACTAAAAAAAAAAAAGAAGGTAAAATACAGTATGCAACAGAATAATGACTTCCATTTTTAAGAAAAAGGGGGTTCATAAAAATCGTATTACAAATAAGGCCAGTATCATTTAGTTAATCATATTTTATTTTAAGGTAAACTATTAAACTCCAGAATACCAACTCCTCACTGACCCTGTCTTCCCATAACAATACGCTAAACACATCATGACAGGCAATCAATAAGGACTACTTAATTGCATTACACATTTGGTGTAGAATGTCATTTTCTCAGAGGTAAACCATTTTAACTCAAAAGGTTCAGTAGCTTCCTGCTACAATAACATAACCTCCTAACAATTTTATCATTCATCACTCAGATTATTAGGATTTATTTTTGTTAACAATAAACTACACATATAGAATTTATTCCGCCTCTATATACCTGTTAGTAGTTTGTTTATACCTTAAGAGAGCAGAAGATAAGAGCTGTGATATATTCAAAGCTAGAGCTGCACACTCTGTATGGTGTTGCCATTAGAGATGGGCAGGTGAATTGAGAATCAAATCAAAGAGGTGATTTCTCTGAAAGAATTGTACTCTCAAGTAATTCACATGGAAGAATCACGATTCAATCGGAAAGTAAAAAATATGGTACACATATATAAATAAAACCGAGAGAAAACATAAACAAAATAGTTAGGTAAATAGGCATAGGTTATAAATATCTGAAGTGTGATACGCTCATGGAAGAGTAGATTCCGAAAGTAAACAAAACAAGTCAGCGAACAATGCAATAAGGCTGGGCAATTTCCTAGAACTAACCCAACTAGTGAATCGGCCGAATCACTGATTCCCAATTCACAAGGAATCAGTTGATTTCCCGATTCACAAGGAACTGGTTGATTCACTGGTTTGTTCTAGGAAATCTCCCGGTCGTGTTACCTTGTTTATTGGATTGTTTTGTTTACTTTCCTGTTCTCTTCCAAGAGCACTTTGCAATTTAACAATCTACGCTTATTTACATTACTGTTTTGTTCAGCTTTTCTCTGTTTGTTTTATATATATATGCTCAGTTTTTTTCTCACTGGTATTTTATTTTTAATTAACTATTATTATGTAAATATTTAATTTAATGTAGGGTCGTACTGTCATGTTTTATTTATTTTGTATTTATAATTTGTTCTAGAGGGTCATCAGTCCCAAGATAATAAAATTATATTTAATTTAATTTACAATTTAAATACACAGACCAAATTTTAATCTGTAACATGAAAAAAAAACTATTTCTGTCCAATTTAAATTTCCTTCCTATTTATAAGATTTATATTTTTTATTTGTTAATATTTGAACCAGGACTTTTAATTTCAATAAGTTGAAAACAAAAATTGTTTGCCTAAATAACCATAAGGTTTGGGAATGTTTGTTACTGTTTTATTTTTTTTCAATAAAAAGTTCTTTTTTAATTTTAAGATAAAAAAAAAAAGAGAAAAAGAATCAATCTAAGAATCAAATTTCCCATCTCTATTTGCCACAGCTTTCTCAAATAAGTAAAGCTATTTGGTAGACCATAGCAATCGATTCACTTCACTGATTTAGAGATAAATAAATCAGGAATCGAAGAGGAAGCAAGGTAAGAAACAAGAAAAGGGTTCGGATGGTAGTAGAGTTAAAAAAAAATGTACATTAGTCTGGCATGTAGATATCATACAAATATATACAAAAAATATGTTGACGAACGGCCTCCAAATTGTAAAATATTCAAAGTTTATCTTTTTAATTAGCAAGTTATATATTTTAACATGGGAAACACGACTGACTCATTTAATGCATTATTTGACTCTAATTTATAGTCAAAATTCACTAACAAGGGAACTCTACAGTCAATGAGTCAACGATTTCAATCAAATTTTTTTTGGTGATACTATATTGAAAAATACTAAACATATGTCACAATTCTTGATCCAATGATCCATAGGATCCGAGAATAAAAAAATTAATATAATTTCCAAACAAATTTATGTTATTTATTTTTGTCTTTACTTTTTAGGTTAATATAAAGAGTGTCACGTAAGTACAGGGAAATATTTAAAGGGCCGAAAGTAGACATCAAGGACTACAAAAAAATTCATATAAACAATAGCCAAATTTTCAGCAGAAAATTAGAAAACTTAAGTTTTTTGTTATAGGTTTTTATTTTTGGTAAGTCACGTTTTTTGTTGAATAGGAAGCGATAACTAAAAAAATACCGAATTTAAGTAAATAAAAATTGCAGTAAACTAGACAAAATTTATTTTAATTGGAAATAGAGTTTGTCATTGGTAAAACCATTTAGAGAGGACTTTTGAGCGGCTACGTTACTAAACTAAGCTACGTTCTGTTTTTTAAAAAATCATAAATTATTCGCAACTTTTTTTTTTTTTTTTTATCTTCCTCCAACTATACTACAGATACCCCACTTTTGGAATTCCTCGTTTAATACGCTTTAAGTCCACAGAAATTAAGTAGAGGATTATTAGGGAAAAACTTAAGATTCACCACAAATTGTACACAAAAATGAAGTGATTTTATGTCCTGTCCCCTAAAAGTACAGTGTTTTCAGCAAAATTTGCTAAAATAAATGTTTACAAATCTTTAATTTCTTTTTTTTATTACCTCGGATGTATAATAAATATAAATGCACTTTTTATAAATATAAAAACACTTTTTATACCTAATTTTTTTTAAATAATTATTTTTCGATTATTCATCATATTAAGTGATAATGGAAATGTTTTGTTTTTTTTATTAATATCAGTATTACAGTAATTGACCCGTATTTATAAATGACAAAATAAATGTTTCCAGTCCTAAAATTTATGTTCAAAATAAAAAATCTACTGATTGCTTCAATTATTCACATGAAAACATAAATATTAGGGTCAGAAATAGGGATGGACCGTTCCTGGGGGAACAAATTCCACAATCACAATAGAATGAGACCCAAGGAAACTTCGTTCCCCTGGAACATAATCTAAGAGCAGGATGAAAACATCTTTAGATTTCACTGAGTAAATGTTCGGCAATTAAGTTAAATAGATACAAAACGGATTTATAGCAATTAAGGTGAGTGCGCTATAGCAGATTGCCTCCGAAGTTGATTAACGGAATAATCGAATTGGTTAGTTGCTTCAAAACTGAACCATAACAAGAATACATTTAATTTATTGTTTGATTAAATATAAAGTAATCTAATTAAATTAAAATATAATAAGATCTCAATCATGATTTTAAGATAGAAATTTGGTAATTCTAAAAATATTAATTAAAATGACAAGATTCAGATAACTATTAAAATAATAATAATAATAAAAGGCTTAGCGAACCCGAAGGTTCGATGCCGACACCACCAATCGCTTATTACACACCTCCCTCCACCATTCGCCGTCCAAAGCCAGTCCCTTCAGATCGGCTTTAATGCAATCTTCCCACCTTCGCTTCGGTCCACCCCTCGGACGTTTACCATTCGGTACAGCAAATATTAACCTTTTAGGAATTCTCTCGTTACTAAGCCCAACAATTTTACAAGCCCATTTGATACGCCGCGATGAAATTACCTCAATTATATTAGCTGAATACAGTTCACGCAATTCGGCGTTGTGTAACAGTCTGAACTCTCCGGTTAACTCATCCTTTGGTCCGAATATTCTACGCAATACTTTATTTTCAAAAACCTTAAGACGCTGTTCATCCCTTAATGTCAGCGGCCAAGTTTCGCATCCATAAAGAACTGTAGGTAAGATAACAATTTTAGATTCTAATTTTTGAGTTCTGGGACAAGAGGCGCGCGCGAGCTATTCGGTTTTGTCACAGAAAAATCTGGTGCGGGCAACACACAACTTTCATTTACCACTCTACTTGGAATAGAAATTATTTTCTGGCAATGTTGAGCTATTATAAAATGTTTGAAGTGCATTTTAAACGGAGCTGAAGCTTAAATCCTACAGATAGCAAATCATTATGACAAAAAAGTCTATTTATAATATCGACAGTAGGCAATAAAAATCTAGTCACTCCATCTACTTTTATAAACCACACAACTTCAGTCTCTAAGCCTTTCAGTTGACAGAATGAATAACTCCAATTTCAACATTTTATAGTAATGTCATTATAGTGATATTTCTAGTTGAAAAAGTTATCTATGAAGACAGTGAGTAAGTTGATTCTGGAGTAGGTGATTGCAGTGTTGAAATATAGAACTGTGAATTAAGGTATAAATTTTACCACTAGAAACATCGCTAAATTAATAATAAAGAATGTTGAAATTGGAGTTAGTCATTCTGTCAACCGAAAGGCTCATATATGCCTATAGAGGTTTGAAAGTATATCTGAATATTTAACCTATAAATAGTTATGGATCGTAGGACTATTAGTTATTAAGCTGTTATTTTCCATTGTAAAGTTTATTAAAACAAAATTACGAGATTTTCATTGCCTTGCTACGGATAGGTCAAAAATTGTCACACTACTTGTAAGTGGATAATGTTGGGATTTCACAAAGGGAAAATTCATCAAATTAAATTCACTAATTTAATTTTCTAAAAGGTGATTTGATGATTTTTTTTGGAATAAACAGCCGATAGATACTTAATTATTTAAATATAATATCTTGTCTAGAGTTAATACTCTATGCGAAATAGTTAACTTTTTAAAATAAACCATATTAAAGGTACTTTAGAGGAAGACATATATGAACATTGGGCATTTAAGCGCTGTAAAGTGACATCAACGGGGATAAGACCTAAATGATATTAAAGACCAGTTAATTATACAATGATACACCGAGTTTGATCAAAATCGTGAGTCGTTTTTGAGAAAATTGTAAAAATGTGTTTCAGCGTTCATATAAAGTGGCACTTCCAGTTAGCCGATTTAAAAGAAAAAGTTGCTGTCACATCTGGCCCATATACAAACCTTCAATACTTAATATCAGTTTCGTACTACTTTTCGTTTATGCACGCGCGCGCACGCATGCACCCACACA